GAAAAGCAGAACATGTGGCAGAGGTATCTGACCAAATTTTTGAGTAATAAATGGTTGTTAGCAAGGGTAGCTAAAGATTTTTCTTGGAATCCTAAAAGCAAAGATTAACCATGCAATATTTTAACCAGAAAAATGATGTGATCTCATTTATGTTTTCTGAACACAATTTTCTTTAGTTCTAGAAGCATTAGAGGAGTGGAAAATTGGTACAAGGGAGATCACTATTATGGCAAAGCAGATGAAAGAAGTGATTGTGGAACTATAAAAAGATAAATGAGATTTGAAAATTATTTAGGAGGTAGATCAACCAGATGTGATTACTTGATTGATTTAGAAAAGATGAAAGAACAAGATGTGTGTCCTGTATGTAGTGGATGGAGACTGGTGGTGTGTGTAGAACAGAGATTGCTGGAAGAGGAACATATTGAAGGAGGGCTGGAGATTTTGAGTTCATTTTGGACATATCAAATGTGCCATGTCTTTTAGACATTCCAGTGGATATACCAAATAAGTACTGCACACACGTAAGTGTAGGTTGTGGCACAGAACTGCCGTGGGATATAAATCTGAGAGTGATTGGTGAGGACAGAGAAACTGAAAAGATGCATATTGCTGAAAGGTCCTAGAGAAAATTATGTGAGAACAGATTGTGAATCACATTATTGGTGATCTCAATATCTAAATATTAAACATAAGAAGATAACTGAACTGAATCTGGGAAAAAGTAATTAGAGATGTAAGAATTGAGTCAGAAATGTGGGGGTCAGTGATGGAGAATAATATAACCTAGGGATAATTCTTAGGAATATTTGCGTCTAATCAATATTTTATTTCACATCAACATTCTGATGTGAAATAAGAGTTTGTATTATATCCCTTGATTTTGGTAACTTGGTGATTATTTGGTGGTCTTCATAAATGTTTGGTAGAAATACATGTTAAGCGTATTATCTGCTTTGGCATGTAGTTATAACTTATTTTGAATATGAAGAGAATGGTGAATCATGCTTCAGTAACTATTTGTTACACAAGTTGTTACCTATCTTATAAACTATTTAATCTAAAAAGTGCAGTGCTAGGAGAAATCAGACCATATTCTGTTTTCCTCTCTTCAAATAGCTACCTGCCACTGTATATTTTACATAATTGAAACAGATACTTTCTTATCCATACTCCTTTGACACACACCATTCCTTTGCATTAAATAGACCAGGAGTGCCAGGGAGATAACATTCCCTCCTCCCTCCAGAGCAATTCTCACCAAGAACTAATAAGAATTGGTAAAAACAAGGTCTGGGAAAAGTCCAGCCATTGTTATTATAATGGGAGTGGTTTACACAACACGATATAACCTAGCAGCCAAGGAGAGTGGACTGGAATGCACATTTGTGAACAATGATGACTTCACTGTACTAGTCAGTGTGGAACAGTAGACACTGTTGAGTGAGCATGTGTACTGTGTGGCTGTCGCACTCAAAATGACTGAGCAAATACAGCAATGAATGTGCATCAAATTTTCCATTCCTCCATGGAAACTATTTGGATGATTCAGAAAGCCATAGCTAAGGGCAACTGATGATTGGCAGCTTCATCACGACAAAATATCTACTCATGGCCCATGTTCCATGAAGTTTTGGCAAAACATCAGTCATCCAGGTGATTCAGTCTCCCTATGGCCCAGATGTGTTGCCCTGCAACTATTGGCTTTTCCCAAAACTAAAATCACCTTTGAAAGGGAAGAGATTTCAACCATTGATGAGATTCAGGAAAATAAAATGGGGCAGCTGATGGTGACTGGGAGAACTGTGTGAGGTCCCAAGGTGCCTACTTTGAAGGGGACTGAGGCATTATTGTCCCATGTACAATGTTTGTTATATCTTGTATTTTTTTCCCTACATGTGCTATTTTTCATATTGTATGCCTGGATATCTTCTGGGCAGACCTGTATTTCCTAAATACTCCTGTGCCCATCAAGGAACATAACTCTGATTCATGCCCTACATTGTTTCTCAGAGTTGACAGCAGAATTTAACCCCAGTCATCTCTGGTGTAATCGGCTCAATAACACAGTTTTGTTTTTTTTTTAATTTTCTTCCTTCCCTTTCTCCCTCATTTCTCAGTGCTTTCTGAGCTCACTCCTCATAAAAAACAAAAAACAACAACAACAAAAAAAAACATGTTCCAATTTCTGTCTGTTAGGATCCTGTATTAGTGTTCTCCAGAGAAACAGAATTAATAGTGGGGATGGACACACACATATATACACACACACTAAGCATATGGCTCACACAATTATGGAGTCTGGCAAGTCTCTGAATCTTCAATCTGAGTCAGCATGCAAAAGACAAGAAAAACCAATTCTTTATTTTTATTCTGAGTCCAAAACTTGAGAGTCAGAACTGATGTCATTTCAGCCTGAAGTCCAGCAGGCTCAAGACCCAGGATGTTCAGTTCAAGTCTAAAGGCTCAAAAACAGTCAACATTTTAATTTATAGAAAGAGTTGGGCGAGGGTCAGCTTTTTTGTTCTAGTCAAACCTTCAACGGGTTATTTGAGAGCCACCCACTTTATTTCCAGCAAACAGCTTTTTAAGTCTACCAATTTAAATATTAATCTTCTCTAGATTAAGCTGTACAAATTGGCGGTTACAAAATAGTCATGGGGATGTAAAGTACAGCACAGGAAACACAGTCAACAACATTGCAATAACTATGTACGGAGGCAGGTGGGTACTGGAAATATTGGGGAGAGCAATTTGTTAAGTATATGACCATCTAACCACGATGCTATAAACATAAAACTAATACAAAATAGTATTAAAATAAACTGTATTTAAAAATGAAACATTAATAAGCATTCATCTGCTTCAGAATGCTATTACAGAAATACTTGTAGTAAAGTTTGGCTGCATATCTGGGTGTCCCATGATGCATTCAAGTTGACACATAAAATTACCCATCACAGACACCTAAATTAACACGATTTTCTTTCCCAAAATCATACTTTTGTGATCTCTCTTTTGCTACTTTTTTTCTGGAAATAAAGCTTTCTTTTATATTGTCAGAAGAAAATAAAATTTTGTTATGCATATACATAGTCAAATTTCAAAAAATCATAGACCTCAGTTTGCCCAGAGTTGTTCTTGCTCACAGCTGTTTCCCTGAATAATTGTTAATATTTTCTCAAGCCCTGGCTGGTGTAGCTCAGTGGATTGAGCGCAGGCGGTGAATCAAAGTGTTGCAGGTTCGATTCCCAATGTGCCCCCAGCAACCGCACATTGATGTATCTCTCTCTCTCTCTCTCTCTCTCTCTCTTTCTCCCTCTCTTCCCTCTCTAAAAATAAATAAATAAAATCTTTAAAGAAATATTTTCTCTTCACTTTAAAAAATGTTCTGCTTTGAAGACAAAATTATATGAGAAGTCTAGTCATTAACTGTGATAATAATAGAAATTATAGTGGTGTATTTAAATCTTTTATTTTTTTCTACTAATTAAAATATGATGAGTATATGTCATATTTCTTCAAATTTTTTTTTTCTTCCTGGGTAATCTTATACTGAAATTATTTACTATGATATATATGGAATGCCTGTTTGTAACCTGGATAATATTGTTGATTACCTTAAATGTATTTTCTTGTTAAAATGATTGGGAAAGAATTAGTTTAAAAAGAATAAATAGTTTATAAGTTTTATATTTCTATATGTGACAAGTCTAAATATTTTTCTGAAATAAGAGTCTAACCTAAAAATTAGCCCTGGTTGATGTGACTCAGTGTGTTGAGCACCAGCCTGCAAACCAGAAGATCACCAGTTTGATTCCCAGTCAGGACACTTGCCTGGGTTGTGGCTGGGTCCCCAATGGACAGCACGTGAGAGGCAACCACACATTAATGTTTCTCTCCTTCTCTTTCTCCCTCTCTTGCCCTCTTTCTATAACTAAATAACATTTTAAAAATAAAAAGAAATAAAAATTAAACAGTTGATTGATATTTATTTAATTGGCTTCAAAGTTAGAGTGTGTTTATAACCCCAGGATATTTCCATTCTTCCATCACAACTAAGGGAAGGATGCGACTAACTTTGACTATCAGGAATGCTGATAGTCAGCACTATGCTGATAGATCAGAGACTATGTTGTTTGTAATGGAGATAAGAGGAGAAGGCAATTCTATGTTGACTGTGGGATACATGATGCCAGGACTTAGCAAAGTCTCATGAAGAAATGATATGGTTTATGGTATCCCCTTTCTTTAGCTTATTTTCCATTTCTGCATGAAATATGTATCTTTATGTTTATTAAATAATATTACATAGCATAAAGTTATAAATATAAATGTCTTAAAGTATTCTTGAATCTTTTTCCACTAAGGGTAATTTTATTACTAAATGGAAATAATTAACAATTATGTTGTAACATGTATAACAAAAAGTTAACTTTTAGCAATATTCTAAATAACTATTTTGAATGTCTTCCTAACTACTTTAGAGCAAGCAGCATGTACCAATTACTGTGTTATTGCATTTTTCAAAAAGATTTTGCATAATGCTCTGAGATAGTAGTTGCTCTTGAGTTTTTTGTGGATACCTTATTATAAGCTTCAGGTATTCCTGCAACAATGAAAGTGTTGTTATTCAAATGTACAAAAATGCATTCAGTCCACAGTAATAGTATTCATAGCTGTCTATAAATAGTTGAGGAAACAATTGTATGAAGTGCTGGATATTCATCTGAACACATTTTTTTTTGCAATTTCACTTTTAAATTCAGATTTCAGAAAAAATACAACAGTGGTGCTCATCAAATATTCAGATACTTCTGTTAGCTTTCCATGGACAGGATAGTAGCTTCTTAAAATTACATACTTTTGTTTCACCAAATCTAAAAAGTCCCTTTTGTATGTACACAATTATTAAAAAGAGCATGAACACACAGTGTGATGTACAGTTACTAAATGTATAGTGTCATATGTGTTTAATGCTCTTTTCACTTTTTTTCTAGATACACCATCAGTTAAGATTATACCATCCACTCCTTTTCCACAAGAAGGACAGCCTTTAATTCTGACTTGTGAATCCAAGGGAAAACCACTGTAAGTGATTTAATGAGCAATGAAGGTTTTTTTTTCTTTTTTTTCTTCTATCCTGCATTGATTACAGGCTTTAACTGCAGAAAAACACTGCTTTTGTCTTGGCTTGGTGGGCAAAATGATCTCTAGAACAGAAAAACCCCTGAACCATGTCTTCATTAAGTGTCTGTAGAAGATTGGTCTTTTTCTTTGTCATCTAGTGAAGTTTCTGGGACGGTATCCAGCTGTGATTTTTTTTTCTCAGTAAGATATTTCAACCTGAAAAGGAGTATAAGCTTAATCAGTCCCTGTTTATGTCATCAGATTGATAAAAGTTAGACATTATTGAACTTACTATTCCATGAAAAGCTTTGAAAATATTGAAGCGTATTCAAAATGTGCCCAAGTTTTAAAGTTAGATGAGGAAGCAGTCTTCTTAATAGGGGAAATCAACTCTATATTTCTTATGTGATAGCTCTCACAAAATATAATTTGTGAATGTCATTTGCTTGGAGGGAATGTAAATGAAAAGTGTCACAAGCCCAACATTTTCAATTGTATTTCATTATTAGAATACATTAGTCCTAACATTACTTCAACTTTAGAATTATACTTTTTCACATTCATGTTTATAAACTGCAAACTCATAGAAAATTTACTTTTTATACAAAACCCAAATCAATATGGATTATCCAAATATAGATTATTCAAATATTATTTGAGAGCCATTTGAACATTCTAATGTAGTAACACTCTAGGTCTAGCATAAATTGATTGATTTAAAAAAAATTTTCCAATTGACTTGCATTTTCATTTAAATTTTAAGAACTAAGGTTTAATTCTTCTCTGTATATAACTGGAAATGCAGATTGGTGCAGCCACCATGGAAAACAGTATGGAGTATCCTCAAAAAATTAAAAATGGATCTGCCTTTTGACCCAACAATTTCACTGCTGGAATATATCCTATGAATCCTGAAATACCAAGTCAAGTCAAATTATTAAAAAATTGTTTTTAAAAATATTTGTTATTTAAGTGTAGATTTCATGTTATTCTATGAGAAATTTTTCTAAAAGTTTTAAGACAGAAGTTTAAAATGTTAACTTCTTCAATTGCATAGCATTGTACTTTTTAACACTAAACATATTTACACTTCCTTATCATAGTTTTGGTATTTTAAAACTGTTTTCTTTCAGTAATTATTTCCTAGAGATATAAATATGCAGATTTAAAGAGCAATTGTGAATTAATGTATTAATTTATCTTTTAAGAAACATTTAAGCATTTTAAACATTAAAAATATTTTATCTTAGTAGCCTTTCTGCATATATCCTTCACAATTCACTTTAATAATTCCTACCATCTGATAAAATTAAATTGCTTATAGAAAACATTTTTCAACTGCAATATGCTATCAAAATGTGACAGTGCATGTTAGTATTAAAATTTTAACAAGAGCTTTGGCTTCAAGTTCAATACCTTAAATAGGGAAAGAAGTATAGCAGAGTCTAGCCAGCTTTAGACATACCTAAATCCAAATTTATTTACTCCTGATTCTGTGTACCTAACACCAGAAACTATCCACTTTCTTTTCCATCTTCATTCCTATTCCTTATGCTTATTACTTTCCAACTCTTTCTGTTTCTCTTCCTTCTCTCTCTTTATCCTTCTGTCTTATTTGTTCATTTCTGTTCTCCCATAAAACCTCAGGGTTCAGCATAAGAATACACAAAGTAACATAATTGGGATCAAGGCATACATAGCAAAGGATTTGGGCTTTTACTTTCCCTCCATAGTTTTGTTTCCAAGTATATGTACCTTATCCACCCAAAGTTTACATTCTTTAAGCTATTTTATACTATCTCTATTGCAACTATAAAGTGCCAGTTATGTTAGAAAGTAACTTTCGAAAAACTAAGATGGGTCCTACAATGATTTTCAGCCCTGAAGTTGAACCCTCAGAAGCTTGAAGGTGAAGAACTATCCAGTCTCAAGACATGCCTTACTCTTGCCATTCATGCTCTTTTATCAGACTTTCTTCTATATTTATTCTGTTACTCAAAACTTGCCAAATTCCTACCAGACTGACTATTTCTAGCATGAGTTTACAGCATATAGAAAACCTCTAATCAGTGCAGTCATTATGTTCTTTCTTTACCCTTATAGGTCCCAATGTGGTACACAAGTAAATGTATATTATTTTCTTATATTGTCTTCTCATTCCCATCTTCGTTTCTAACATTAGCTTCCCTTGTAGACTGCCAGGCCATTAGCATTAAAGGTATAGCTAACATTCCTTACTGCCTTTAGAACATTGGTTTTCTTATGCCCTTCCTAATCATCTTGAAGTCTACTCTTCTACAGTTTCAAAGTACCAATCATGTCCAATAAATGTAGGCATTAACTCCTTTCAAGACAGTCTAATTTCTAGCTTCTCTTTAATTTATATTATATCTTCAACAGTGCTAGATGAGGCAGATGGGACAAAAAAAAAAAAAAAAAAAACAAGAGAAGACTAAAAAGAAATCATTGAATTTTCCCAAAAGGAAATTTTACTGCTCATAAAGAAAACAGTCTCACCAGGGCAGAGAGAACAGAAGGCAAATTGAAATGGATTAATCAGGGAAATAGTAGATGGTGAGGAAGCAAAGGTAATGGGAGGATTGCCCATTTCAGAAAATGAATCAGGAAAAATAGAAGAGAAAGAAGGAAAGGAATTTATGTCAAACAGAAGCTATAAAATAAAAAAGTAATAAAGACTATTCATATTTTAATATAGGATCAAAAAGCCTGAAAAGTGTGGGAATAGAAATGAAGCATGTGATATCACAATAGCAAATGGGTAGGTCTGAGTTTCCTATTTTACTACCAAATTTCTGCTCCATTACTTTGGAGCAATTATACTTGATTCCCATTTTGTTATTTTGGAGTCACTGACAAGCAACACTGGCTCAGTTGATTGGATCCCAAAACCCTTAATTTCTATTACCCTTCCGTTTACCTGATCCACCTTTAATGAGCAAGTGGGACTCAGAAATGGATAATGGATATATGTTTCCTTATAACTTGTTGCTGACATAAATAATATCTTTAATCAATGACCAAATATTTATTGTTTCTTTCAAAATGATTGATTAATGTGTGATTCATCCAAGGTTGTTAGGCATATTGGTAATGAACAAAATACTGCTATCTTTTGTACGAATCACAGAAGATAGTGTGGCTGAACTTGTGCTGAAAATGTTTGTAACTTGCAGTCCTGTATGTTAATGTCGTTTTCTTTGTTGTAAATGTGAGGGCCCCAGTAACTTTTGATGAACAATCCTGCCTTATTTGCCTGCTTTGTACTGAAGCCTTTTTGCTGTTTTCCCACTGAACAGCTGCATAACTTGGGCCAGGACCAAATTGTTCCTCTTGACATTGCTATAGAGGCATTCTATTCTTTCCTTAAAAGAGAGATTACTGTACATGTCTGTCAACTGTTTTAATTTTAGTTTAAAGTGAAGACCGAACTAATGCCAACCACTTTGCTTTCAAGTCCCCAGAGTTTTTGCAACCTTCTTCTTTCTTTGGCTGCATTCCCAGACAGCTTTCAGACAGGACCATTTTTCATTTAGAGAAGAAGAGAGAGGGGTATAATAAAAATAATAAAAAGCTGTTATATTACATTAAAGTCATAACCTTAAAAGGTGTGGGTTTGTACCCCACATTCTATAACCAAGGAATTACTGTTCATTTTAATCCAAAGTCCAATGTTCAATACTTTTAAATATACTTTAGTAAAGCAGTGGGACATATTCAATTAGGTGTGTATTGGACATTTATTCTATAAAAGAAAATAATTGTAGGTATTGTTCATTTTTTCTGTGTATCCAGCACAATGTTTATGTTTTATTTACTATTTTACCTACTGGTAACCACATTTTTTCTTGTGTTCTTGCCATTAATTTAGTATATATAATTGCCTAGATCCCTATACTGTACAAAAGGAAAGATTTTAATTTTTAGAAAGACAAATTGCATACCATATAACAACTAGTGAGGTGTCTTAGAGCAGCCATTAAGCAGCCATTTTTTAAATTATTAAGAATTTAGGAAGAAATCCAGTAAGAACATACTGATGCATTTTCAATTAGCATAATAGAGATTAAAAATGAGATTCAAATGAAAGCAGAACAGTTTTATATCAGGTCAGTTTCCTCAGCCTACATGTCCCTTTTTGCCAACTATACATTATTTTCTAATTGTCATACAACCCAATCACAGCCAGAAGAAATGACAAGACAAACTAGTAGTTAAAAAAGGCAAGTTATCATCCAAAGTGAAATGCCAAAACAAAACAAAATATGAATTTTGAAGAAAAATAATTGCTCTACAATATTAGCAATTGTATATCATTTGACCTAAAGAATAACAGATGTTAATTTTACAAAATTTGTTTCTCACCTACCATCTATGCTATTAAAAGCTATCTAATTAATAATCAGCTTGTTGTTTATCTTCAGATATAATGCCTAACCTATCATGCTCTTAGGCATAAATAGTATGTGGTAAAGTGGCAAGAGAAATACAAAACTAGATTTGAATTATGAATATTGTGAATATCTTTGGCCTCAATGGCCCTGGACAAGTCATATAACCATGCAAAATATTTTTCAAAATTAATACACCTCCTTTTTTAGAGCCATTTCAGGTTCAGTGAAACTGAGTAGAAATCACAGAGTTCCCCAATTCCCCTGCTCCCACATGTGCACAGCCTCCACCACTGTCCACATGCTACGCAACAGTGGTACACTATCACAGGAAATGAACCCATGGGCCCGGCATCATTCATGGACATGCCGTTATTGCCCCAGGGCCCATAGTTTACACTAGGGTTCACTCTTCTACATTCAGTATTCTTATTGTATAAGGTTAAGAAAATAAAATATAATGAACAATTTTTCAAAATTAATGATAATATATATAACATTTCTGCCCCATGTCATCTCATAACAAATAATAACCATGAGAATGATGATAAG